CAAATACCAGTTGCAGCATATGCATGTTTGATTGCATTCAGAGTGTATGTTTCAAAAAATGCTTTATCAAAAACTTGTGCGAATGAGTATTTAGTAACTACTTGAAGTTTATTATTAGAATGATAATGATCTGAAGCCTTATCATATTCAGATTTCAGTTTTTAAAAGGAGTCTCTGATGGCTGAAGGATATGAGTAGTATTAAATAATAAAACATAAAGAAAGATATTATTATTCTGACAGTATTTAATATTGGTTAAGTCAATATGACTAGTGGCTTTATCAAGTATAAGTAAAACAGGCCGAGCAGAGGGAATTAAATTATTAAAATACTCTATATACATTTTAAAGATATCTTTATATATATAACTAGTATTAGTAAATACGGCAACAGTACCAAATAGAACTGATGTACCTGCTAATAAACTATTAATTACATTAATACCTTTATAAATAAGTAGTGGCGAAATATATGTTCTGGCTACTGAAATAGTAGGACAAACAGAAATATACTCTTTTGAGCTTCTAGTTGTGGTCTTATGGACTTGTTGAACATTTTTCTGTGCTAATACTTTTTGCAATTGAGCTGATATATTAAAACCACTTTCGTCCATATTTCAAATTTTATCAGCTGTGAGTGAATATTCATCAATAAGTTGCTTAAGCTTTTTAAAATAATCTTGGATAACAACTAGATTACTCTTGGCTATACATGCTTTAGAGAGTTCTTGTAAAATACGAAAAGAAAGCTATGGGTAATCACATAAGAATCATTTCTACCATTTGTGACCAGGGCCATTTTTAAGCAAATATTCTTTATTATTTCTTTTAAGAATTTGTATAACTATTGTACTAACAGCTACTCTAGTAAGCTCAAACCTAATTTTTTGCATATTTAAACAATAGCTTGCCAACTTATTTTCTTCTTCAACTGTAAGTATTGTAGAAGGATCTGGACGTTTTGGTATATTACCTTGAGCTACAGCATCATATAGTGTTTGTTCAGCAACTCTATAATTAAAAGCAATTCTACGAACACTTAAAGATGCAGTTGAACTATTTTTTTGTTTTTTAAGAAAGTTCAAAGCTGCATGAATAGAAATTTGATAAGAATTTGTATCCTTTTTTAAAAATGTTATTTGGTTCATATTACATAAACTATCATGCAAGTACAAGTAAAAACAAAAATTTTATAACAAATACAACAAAAATTTTTTTTTTAAGGGGGTTTAAATTTATATGCAATTATGTAATTAGGTACTGAATCATGAAATTGGTAATAGGTCATAATGAGGTTTAAGCTTTTTGTGATTAGTATACGTAGCAAATTAAAAAAAAGTTTTTTTTTAATTTTCTAGATTTTATAAAAAGGGTCCAAATAAAAAAATAGTTTCTTTGGCTTAGTATCTTTTATGAGTTTATTATTATATATTTAACAAATTGTAATATTTTTTTTTTTTTTTTGTTTTTTTTTTTTTTTTTTTGACTAATAATAATTTAGTTTGGAGTCTTATTAAACATTTCGATAATAGTTATTTATATTTGGTACAAATAGTAATAGTAAGTTAAAATAAAATTAACACAGAAAAAAAAAGAGAAATACTTATTTAGTCATTTTATATATAATTATATTTGGTGTACATAGTAATTTTAAGTAAAACACAGAGAAAAAAGAAAAATGCTTATTTAGTCATTTTATATATAAAAAAAGAAGTTAAAATAAAAAACATGTGTAACAAACTTTAACTTTAAATACAAGAACAGGTAAAACGTATGATTTATGAAAATAGGATGATCCCTGAAAATAGGCAAATATACCTTAGTAAATAAATTTTATTAATTGATCAAAATATATTTAGTATAAAACTTAAAATTAAACAGATTATGAAAATTCTAGTTTTTAGACTATTATTATATATTAATTTTTTAATTACCTATATAAATAACTTATGTAATTATGATTTTAGAATCTATCAGATATAAGTTTTTTCTTTGCTATTGACATAAATATAATAAATTAATTTTCATAGTAAATTGCAACAGTGATCTATTTTTAAATTTTTTTTCAAATATTTTATAAAAAAAAATTACTTTCACGAGATGTAATACAATAATTCATAAATTTAAATACTAAATTACAATAAAATTAAAAGTAAGATAAAGAATATAATCTTACTTCTAAAGTTTGCTTATTGTTTTAATAATATATAATATTAATATAATAGTTTAATTAACAAGTTATAAGCTTTTTTTATCTTTTTTTCTAGCTTTTCTATTATTAATAACTTAATTAATACCAATAAACTGTAATTTTTTATAAAATATTGAATTGTATTTAATAGTGATTTGCTTATGAAATAGTAACTTTAGAAAGACAAAATAGCTAAAGGTATACTTTGCAATCTTTATCATTATGTTTTTTAGTTTTTTAAAACAAATGAACTAAAAATTAGCTAGTCTAAGCTACTTATTAAGTATACAAGTATAGATATTGTCAATTATATTTTATAAAGCTACTATTTAGTCTAAATATAAATTCTAATTGAATTGTAAAAATATTTGTAATATTATATATTAGACTAGATAACAATAATTTTTTAATTTAATAGTTTATTAAATAGTTTAAATAATTTAATTAAATTTTTAATTAAAAAAAATAAAAAAATTTATTAAATAAATTATAATTTATTCAGAAATTATAAATTTTCTATAATTTAATTATTATATATTAATCTAGCTCAAGTTATATTAATATAAGTTATTGTACTGTTATAAGTATTAGCTTTCTTAATACAATATAAGTAATATAAGACACAAAAGAGAAACTCTCAATGCTGTTCAAGTAGAATATTATTTCACTGTAGCAGTTTATTACAAAGTTAATAAAAAAGCAAAGATTATACTTTATTTAAGATATAATATCAATAATACAAGACTATTTATTAGTTTCTGTACTAAGAGAATTCTAATATTAAAGAGATTGCAGAAGTTAAATTTAATCTGAGATAAAGAAAAAAAAGGGTTATATAGCTTTTTACAATTAGGAATAAGAATAGTAAGAATATAAGAACAGTAAAAATAGTAAGATTAGTAAGAACAGTAAGAATAGTAAGAACAGTAAGAATAGTAAAAATAGTAAGAACAGTAGGAACAGTAAGAATAGTAAGAATAGTAAGATAATTATAGTTGTTTTTAAGACAACTCAAAAACTAAGAGTTCTATAGTTATAAATTATAGCTCATTTGAAAGATATCTTCAAGCTAAATCTAATAGTATAACTTAAATCTATCTGTAACTACTAAGCTATTTATAAAAGTAATAATAATAAATAAAGTATATTCAAAAAATTGACTATTTATTTTTTTTTTAATTAAGGTTACTTCCTTGGCCGATTAGATTTTATTAATTTGCTATTACGGAGTTACTATAATAGTAATCTCCTAAGGTTTTACAGTTACATGATGAGTGTACAACAAGCCACATGTACAACTTTAGTCATTGTCTAATTTAAGTAG